AGTTTCTTCTTCCTTCTATACAATATCAAGCCAATTATTAAAGTTCCCAAAAGAAAAAGTGTAGAGCTGATGAGAAGAATTCCAAGTAGCTTTTTCTTGTTGAACTTGCTCCTTTTCTCAATTTGATCTGAAATATCAGAATTGAAACAAAATTTTAATGCAATTCGGTAACCAATTTCTCATGTTGCAGATGAAGCAGCAAGGCCAACTGAGGAAATAACTACCATTGTGGTTTTCATGTCGTTCGGCCTTTGATTATGGACCTAGATCAATAATTTTAAACATGTTGCTTCTAACTGATGCCCCCATCAAACACACTCCCAAAAGCAAAACATAACAAGTAGACAAAACCTCATTCCCTTAACGTCTAAATATATTGTGATAATGTTATCCACTATTGGATAGAAAAATAAAAATAAGATGAAATAAAAGTTTAAGAGCTACCAAGTTCTGAAGCTGCCATCCGTATATAGAGGTCTTGACCACCACCGGGAGTGAATTCCCTTATGTCAATGAGATTGCCAAACCAAAGCAAGCAGCCAGTTCCTCCCTCCCTGATATCTAAATTTGCATATGCCGTACATGAGCAGTTGTTCAAACATAATCCCTTGCATTCCTTGAGGCTCGTGCTTTTATCAAACCATGAGGAAGATGTGTCTGGCAATTTAACCCCAGTGTACTTTAGGAAGCCATCTCCAGAGCTGCAAGCCAATGGAATCTTTCGAACACAACCATCAGACCAATATCCCGAATTCCATTCTTTTGGAGATTTTGGTACAAATCCATTCAAGCATGCACATAAGGGAGAGACATTCAGATTGCAACTAGCATATGCACCACACAAAGCATAATTTTCACACCGGTCTGCTTGAAATGTAGAGGAAAGTTCCCAACTATGTGTTTGGTGCACCCATGTTAATCGCTGCGCAATGCCTGATGGATTCAATATATATCTTGAGAACGTGGACCTCTTTGAGAGCCTGAACTCATAATAGATCTCATCCTTGTTCAACACAAATTCATACTCCAATGTTGGGTTTGGTCGTGTTTGTGGAGGATATGGATATGCTGTAAAATGAAGGCCGTTCCATGAGCCTGCTGAAGCCACTATCTTAGCTCCTTTCACAACAACAGCTTGCGGGAAACCACGATGATCTATCCGTAACGAAAACTCTCCTAGAGCAGGATCGTCTTTGCTCCTCCAAGACGAGACGTACCTCTCTAAACCAGTAACTAAGTCCCAACCAAGCTTCATTTCTGGTAGGAATGTGTCACAAAGATAATCAAAACTCTGCCACAAAAAGTTAACAGGGTTGGTTTCATTTCCATCTTTCACAACAAGATTTCCTGAATCCAGGAGTTGTGATACTGGATTCCCTGCAGTTCTTGATGTATTGGATGACCATACAATGCTGTTTGAGCTATTGAGAAGGACTAGAACTCCTTGCTCAGTGACCTTCAAAACTCCTGAAGTATCGCCAAGTGGTGTCTCTCTGTTGGCTACCCATACAACTGCCTCAGTATCAACAGTGTACCATATTCCCAAGTATCGACCATTTGATTTACCAGGGCTAAAGAATCCCAGTTCAAAGCTTCCACCTGCTGAAACTAGACTTTCACCGTCTCTAATATATCGATTTGGAGTAATTGTGTCTGGTGTTGTTGGAGTGGAGATTCTTAAGAAGGGAAATAAGAA